GGTGAAAACGTTGATCGTACCAAAAACCAAACAGAACTTAACAAAAAAAAGAAATTAATTTGCAAAATCGACAAAAATTTTATATCACGTGACCTTCAATGGTGATACAAATTTAAAAAAATATTTATATATACAAAAATAATAATAAGGGGTGTTTACTAAATAAGGCAAATTATATGGCTGCGCTTATTTAACATAAGTACGTTTCTTTTATTAAAAAAATGGATATTATGATTAATAATAATCTGCTTAATCTGTTTCAAAGAAAAACAAGATAGCTAAATTTAGAGGGTTTTAATAGACAGAAGATTCATTATATTGCTTAAAAGATGCTGTTAAAAATTTTCGGTGGAATTCATTCTATTAATATATATTAATATATATATATTTTAACGTTGGTACTACACAAAAACTACTATATTTATAGATATTATTATTAATAAAATTTTTGAGTAACATATTAAAAATAATAAATATTCAAAATTTTCATATCCTAAGAGTATCGACTTCCATATCAGTTATAGATCAAAATACAAATTTGTAAAAGATTGGTCAAAAATTAAAATGGAACCTCCCCCAATACCCTCCAAATTCGCTCCTGAACAAACAGGAATGAATTTTACAACAATGCCAATACCACCAACCCAAACTCAAAGCTTTCCACAAACTAGTTCTGCAAGTAATAATTCAAATCTGCAACCATTGACTAATCTAGAAACAAGCATTCCTCCAATACCATCTCTCAACAACCCACAACATCCTTTCTATCAACAAAACCCTCACTTTCCACCATCTTTACAACAAAATCCCGTTACCACCAATTCACCAGATCCCAATTCTAGGGATTCTATTATTTCTAATGCGAGCACTTCGCAATTTTATAATGTAGCTCAAAATCAACAACAAGTCCCTCCAATATTATCAAGCCAACCGCAGCAACAGTCTGATTTGTTACGTCAGCAGCAATTTCAACAACTACAGCAGCAGCAACTAGAACTACAGCAGCAGCAACTAGAACTACAGCGACAGCGACAGCAGCAGCAGCAGCAGCAGCAGCAGCAACCTTATTCTAATATTTATCATAATCCTAGCCCTAATCCCATTCCTAATATTAGTAATCTTAATCTTAATAATAGTAATAATACAGGACAATATAATCAATATAATCTAAAGTATGGATCAAATAATTCTACTACTACTAATAACTCAAATCAAACAAACAATTATTATCAACCTTTGCCTAATCCACAACAACCATTATTCTCGAATGACACCTCATCTAATTCAATGGTAATGCCTGATTTTCGTAAATACGTAAATACTTCTAAGACCTCTAATACACCTCCTATACCAACATATACTCAAAATATTCCACCAAAATTGGTAAATTTAAAATAAAATTTTTTTTTTATGGGTAAAAAAAAAAAGAGAAGTACAAATTATTTTTAATTAACAAAAAAATTTTTTACAGCCTGTTAAAATAGATCCTATAAGCAATGAGTATGTCATCTCATTAAATTATTTTGATAAATCAAAATTACAATATCCATATAACTTATACAATTTTTTTACGTTTTCCTAGTCAATTTAACGCGCAAAAAAAATATCAATCTATGTCACAGTCAATGAAAGATGGTAGGCAAACTTTGAATGGAGATTGTAGCGCACAAAAACCTCGTATATCTATGCCACAGCAACCAGTGAAAAAGGATGAGCGAATTGCAAATAATAGTTATAGCACACAAAAACCTTATGTATCTATGCCGCAACCGCCACCGAAAAGGATTCCATATCAGGATAATAGTTATGCATCTATGCCACAGCCGCCAATTAAAAGGGATGGTTCATCTTCATATCGAGAATCTTTAGTTAGTAGTCATTTAAAATTTCTTATGAATCCAACTTTGTTGTCACATATAGCTTTAGAATTTAGATCAACGGTAAAATTTGGAAATCACATTAAAGGCGCATTAGAATATCCAAACAGTTTTACTGGAGCAGATGTAGTGGTACTTATCGCATCATTTTTTTTTTAATAAAATAGTCCTATCTCTGATGTCAAATTTTAACATTATATTATTCTTCACCTGATCATTTATAAAATTAATTAGAAAACAATACAATCAACCTTACCTCCTGAAGCACCCAAGCATGTTGCATTACATATTGCACGCTCATTGGAAGCTCAACTTTACTTTAATCCAATTAATTGGTCAAGTGATGGCCCATTAAAAGATTCAAATGACGAAGTTTATGTATTCTTTAATCAAGATCTCACTTCGCTCAACATTTCAGAATTAGACGAAGATTTTCCTACAGGAGTTTTTCCCACTGTTGGAAAATGTTATAGTCCTTGTTGTGGACTATATGGTAAAGGATGTTATTCAATACTCTGTCCTAATTATGTTCCAGTGGTAAGCTAAATTTTTAATTTTTTGAATTAATTTGCTTGCTTAAATGGTCATGAATCAATTCATTTTTAAATCATTGTTAATGTGATTTTAGGAAGGGACACCTGCAGATCTTCCTCTTATCAGGAAAACTAGCCTTGAAAGTATCGAGTCACCAGTAAGTATTTAATAAAAATGTTAATGATTTAATTCCATTCTCGTAATAATTTTTAAAACCTCCCCCCAGAAATTGTCAGCTCCAACATTAGATAAAGAACAAGATCGTACATGGTCTGGTGCAGTTCCAAAAGAAATACTTGAAAGTGTTTCCAAAGAAGAATTGAAACGTCAAGAAATCATTTACGAAACAATTTATACAGAAAATGATTATATAAAAGATTTATATCTTATAGAAGAGGTTTGTTATATAAATACATTAATATATATATTTTTAAAAATTTTTTGCCCAATTAATGTTTTCAATTTAGGTTTACATAAAAGGGATTCGTAATTCCCCAGAAATAATGACTCAACAAACAAAGATTGAAAAGTTTATAGATGATGTATTTTATAATATTTTTGAGATCAGAGCACAAAATGAAATTTTGCTGGAAAAGTTAAAGGCAAGACAAAAAGAAAACTATGTTGTCAATGAAATCGGTGATTTATTTTTAGAATGGGCATTTGATGCTGGTAATAAATACGTTAGATATAATGGTCGAATCCCTATTGTTGATAGTCTAATAAAAACTGAAAAAGCAAGAAATCCAAAGTTTAAACAGTTTATGGAGGTGCCGATTAATTCTTTAATAAGCTCAAATCATTTTATATTATAATGAATTTAATGATTTAGTTCTAACCATTACTATTATCATTATATTTGGAATAACCAGGAATGTATGAGAAGTCCGAAAACCAGAAAATTAGATTTTCGTCATTATATTCAAAGACCAACTGGCCGTCTACAAAGATATACATTATTTCTTGAACAAATCATTAAACATACATCTAATAATAGTCAAGACAAAGATTTGCTTGATACTGCATTGCAAGTAATAAAAGAATTGTGTAGAGAAAGTGACAGTAATGTTTCTAACACTGAAAGAAAATTAAAACTTGAAGAAATTGGTAGAAAATTGAGGAAAAAGAATGGTGAATCCTTAGTAAGAAACTATTCCATAGTATTGTGTCATCAAGAATGTATATATGTATTATTAATTATCATCATAATTTTTTTTAGTATGAACTTAGTCTTAATGATGATGCAAGACAATTAGTATTTAAAGGTGAATTGCATTCCAAAATGGATAACTCCCTCAAATGGACTACACTTTATGTATTTGTATTTGATCATTATTTGGTCATTACTAAACCTAAGAAAGTTTCAGATGGTGAAATTGAATATATTTTGTACAAACCGGTAACTTAGTATAATAATATCAATAGCTAATTTAATTCTTTGAAATTCAAAGTCTTTAAATTCACAAATTCAAAAATCAAAAAAAAGATTATTCCTTTAGATAAACTTTTATTGGAGAATGTTTCTGAGATAAATCAACAAAAATTAAAATTAACAGGTTCGTTAATTAAAAAATATTTAGAAAGGAAAATATAAATTTATAACTAATAGTTATACAAAATTAGTAACCATAGTATAAATTGTTATATTACAAATTAAGGTTTGGAAAATTATGGTAAACAATCATATTGTTCATTCACCTTATCACATATTGGTAAAAACGGAGGAACCTATCAACTATATGCTGAAACAATCAATAGCTGGAGATTATGGAAAGATAAAATTATTGAGGCGCAAAATAAATTGGATTTGATGAGATCTAAGAAACAAGTATTTGAGTTATTCACATTGAATGATGCCACTTTCACAAATATTTCTGTTGGTGCTCCTGCTAATATTGCTAATTTACAAGAGGAAAAAACAAAACATTTCTCAAGAGGAAAAGTTAATTGTTCCATACCATTTTGTATGTATCAAAATTTCATTTCCTTTTCTTAGAATATAATTTTTTTGTTTGTAATATAAATAATTAATTGTCATATATATATATGTGTGTGTGTGTGTGTGTTTATAATAATTATAGCTGCACCAGAAAACTGTAAGATGATCGCAGTAGGGACTGAGGAAGGTGTTTGGATAGGATTCGGCGGCGAGACAAAAACATTTAGAAAGGTTTTGAATGTTGGCAATGTGTCACAAATAGCAGTGATCGAAGAATTTGGAATATTTATTGTACTAGTAGGTTTGTGATCTTTTTTTTTATATGTTTTTAAAATTTTGTAATTTGTAACTTGTAATTTGTAATTACTATTATTTCTCACCCATTCATTCCTTAACAATACAAACTAATAGAAAAGTCGCTTTGGGCATATCCATTAGAAGCATTAATACCATCATCTTTAACTGCCGATTTTAGTCAATGTGCAACACGACAACGTATAAGTGATAGTAATAATGTATCGTACTTTAAAGTTGGAACTACGAAAGACAAGAATACAGGCGTTGAGAAAACATTGCTAGTATATATGAAGAAAAAGAATTTAAATTATAATTTTAGTGTTTTAGAACCAGCTATCAATTTAAATGAGGTTGATGGAGAAGAACCAAAACAGAATAGTCGTGGATCTCGTGGCGTTTTTCGTTTTCTTCACTCAGATAAAAATTGGTTTAAAGTTTATAAGGTATAATATATATATATATATATGAGATATCTGAATAACCATTTGACTAGATTAATTTTTACTAAATTCTTTTTTTTAAATTTAGAAATTTTATGTTGCTTCTGAATCATATTCAATAAGTTTTTTAAGGTCAACACTTTGTATTGTATGTGCACGAGGATTTGAAGTGGTGAACTTGGATGAATTGACAAATATTCCATCAATACCAAATCTTTCATCGCCTCAATTTTCTGATATCTCAAAAAAATGTAACAAACCTTTGGGAATGTTTAGAATAAAAGATAATGAGTTTTTGATATGTTACGATGGTATGTATGATAATAAAATAATAATAAAAATAGTAATTGGTTGCAGTTTGTTTCTTATGCACTTATTTTTCATATTTTCATATTTAGAAATATTTTTCTTTGTTGATAAGCATGGTGATTTCTCAAGATTAAATATCATGGAATGGGAGGGTAAACCTGAGGCAGTTGGTAAGTATAATTTATATTTATACATATAAGATATTTGATGTGATTCTAACAATTAATTATTATAATTAGCATTACAATTTCCGTATATTCTGGGATTTAATCCATTGTTTATTGAGGTGAGAAATATTGAAACGGGAGAGTTGGTTCAATATATTTTAGGCAAAAATATGAGATGTTTAAATGATAATTCGTCAGGTAAAGATTCAATCCATGCAGTTATGCAACATCCATTGGAAGATAGGCAATACATCTTTAAATTGATCTTGGCAAAAGATAGAAAGCAACACACGAAAAGAAAAAACACATCATCATTATCACCATCATCACCATCACCATCACCATCATCACCATCACCATCACCATCACCATCACCATTACCATCGTCATCATCATCATCATCACGTATTCGACGAGAAGTATGATCTTCTGTCAACGCCACATAACATTATTGTTGAATAATATTTGTTTATTTATTTATTTATATAGTTTTTATTTTATTTTTATTTTATATTTATTTTGATAAATTAGAATTTAAGGTTTTGGACTTTTTTTTAAATCAATCAATTTTATATATAAATGCATGACATAAAAAACACATGTTGATAAATTATAATAATATTTTACTATTGCATGAATTAATTAAACAGTGGAAAAACATACAATTATTTTGTTAAATCTCCGACCATTGGATCTTTTCGATATTGAAAGTGTGTTGTTCAGTATATGTTGACTGGTGTTTGATGGTTTGTATAAGTATATAGGTTTTGAGAAGAGTAAAGTGGGATGAAAGGTTGAGAACAATCTTGATGTACAGTCCCCGGCGGAAGTAATGGCGCGTAAATTTTTATGAATAAAAAATGTACTTTATTAAATTTAATTTTTCTTAAAGCCAAATGGTGTTAGTACTTGGTATGAGCCCCTTCAGCATCGATGCGCGCTTGAACCCGATTTTGCATGCTACCGATGCTATTAACCATGACGCTTTTTTCGATTCTCTCCCATTCCTCCCTAATACTAATAATACCGATAAATTTATTTTTTGAAACCTTTTTTTTTTCTGCTATCATTTTTTTGACGTGTTTCTCAACATTATGCTTCAAAATAGCCCATACATTCTCAATAGGATTGAGATCTGGACTATATGAAGGCCAGGCAAGAACACGTCTTGGAAAGCGGGTATTCAGATCATTCATAACGTCCCTAGATGTATACTTAGGGTCGTTATCTTGCTGAAAGACCCATCGGCCACCTACTAATGCATCAGCATTATCTTAAAGTTGTTCATTTAAAATTTTACGATATAGGTGGCGGTCAAGGTTTTCAGTAAAGATATGAATACCGACCTTCCCTTTAAAATTGATCGTACCCCAAACATGAACCTTATGGGGATGTTTTACCATAGGCTGGGCAGGTTTCTTTTCACGAGACCATTCTAGCATCGTATTGCGAAACAACTGGATAGTTGTTTCGTCTGAAAAAACAACTTTCTTCCGGTTGTAATGCACATGATCTTGTGCCCATGACAAGCGGTTAATCTTTGCTTGTTCTGTTAGAAGAGGAACTTTTCTGGGAAGAGTAGCAACATAACCGAGATTGGAGAGCTCACGGCGAACAGCCCTCTCACTAACTTCGAGATCTTGGTATTTTTCTTCTAAAATAACTTTCATTTCGGTGGCGGTCCTACAGTGTGTGGTCACAACAAATTATCAACTCCAACTATAAATTTTTATTGCAGATCATACCAAAAATAGAACATTAAATTTATTAAAACAATTTAATATTTCCAAGTCCTGAGAGTATTGAATTAGGGATGCTGCGATGTGATTTATATTTTTTGACAGCATATTCAGCTTGTTTGCAATTTAGACCTTTTCTATAACAACCCATGTACCGCATGGATTTTCTTGCAAATTTTCGAATTTGATTTAATGGAACCAAATCTAATGCAATTGGGACTGTTCTTACAAGTCCTGTCCAAGTATAAATGTGTTGCGTCGCGCATGACAAAAAAAAAGTGTCGCGTATTAACTTTCGTGAAACCAAAAAAATTAATGCCAGCAAAATTTAAAAGTTTCCAATCCTTTGGCCCAGGTTAAGTCATAATCTTGGCCAAAATTTTGTGGCCAAATTTAAAAATATGTGAAATATAATTAATTTTAATTCCTTATTACTCCCCCAAAAATAAACCAATTTTAAAAACTCAAAGCTAAGAGTTAGCTTTTGATTATTTCTTTCAACTCATGTTGTTAAAATTTTTATTATTACATAAAATTAAAAGTTATTGACATTTAAAGTAAACCAATATTTTATGGATGATTTATTGTGACACACATTGTATAGTTGACGATCATTCTGAGTTGGCAGTGATAATTTCCACGGATGACCTGACCAGTGAATTTCCAAGATTTTTCCATTTTTTTTTTAATATGGTGACGTATTGTTGACATGTATGTAATGGGATCCCAGTTCTATTCAAAATTTCTTTCAGAGTATGAATATTTTGCTCCCAGAGAAGGTTAACGGCATTATGGTTGGCTTTAATAGGGTTCGAAGACATTTTGCAAGGTAAAGTAAATGAAAAACACTGATGACGATCATTATTTAATTTATTTACTTTATGGTTACTATCTATTTACACAACTCAATGACAAATAAACATTATAAATGAACGTTTTATGGTATTATGCCTGAATAAGTAATTTGAATATTTATGCCATTACTTTCACTGGGGACTGTACCGGCAATTGCAATTGCTGAATGAGAATCCCAAGGCTTTCACACTTAAATGACATGCACAATGGGTTGATACACTCAACAGTAACATGTACTTTGACACTAATTATCTTGCCATTTTTCATTGATAATTCTATCGGATTGATTGTACAGGCCTAGCCTGTTGGAAACATCATACACAAGCTTGCAAGGATTGATATTCATTAGTCATTACTATACATGAAGTTGAAATTAAAACCCCAAAGTCGAAATGTTTCGACTTGAGGCAACTACATAGTAAAAATCAGTTTTAACCTTATTTCGACCCTATTTTGACCAGATCTGCAAATGGTCGAAATAGTTTCAACTTCGTGTATAGTCATTACAACAGTATAATATCTTTTCTGCTGCTCCCTCATCTTACCACAACTTCTACAAGCATGTCTTTCATACATGAATTGACAGGATAAATGTATGTTGTTTTGGACATTCAAGGGGATGAGAATACGAGGAAGGGATATGATTTGGTGCAAAATCCATCAAGTTGTGAGGTTGTGAAAAAGAGGTCGGTGATTGTGATAATTAAGGTTGACAAGGACGAGGATGTTGATGAAGACTGTTTATTTCGAGCCTTTTACCTAGCATGACCTTTCCCATGTTCTTTTTGTACAGCAAAGCCGTTAATTATCATTCAACGAGGCTTGGATATTCAAAATTTTGCAGATCTTGGATTTTATGAGCTGTATCAAATTTCTTGGTTGTTTTAAGGGTATGCTCTTTTGTGCAAGAGAATATCTTCCGATGCCTTCTTGTTCACTAATTTTTTAAGAGACGCTTCATTAGCCTTTGGTATGTGAAACCTTATTGATATAAAGAACTGTAGTTTTAATGGAATGTGGGGGTTTATTTCATCAAAGATGAGGGGAATGAGAAGGAGGTGAAAAAGGAGGATGATTATCTTCTTCAACATCCATGTGTTCTGTACCGCTGTCATTTTAACCCAAAGTACAGGTTCTATCATTTAACATGTGATGATTCGATTAAAAAAAATAAAGGTCATAACACATAGTTATGTCACATCTTTTCACCTAGTTATACGTCAATTGACGTATGCCGACAACTTAATCACTGTATTGATGTACAGTTCATTCTCTATATAACGAATGGACCATTTGACTTTGTATTAATATTAAGAAAAAATGCTCATTATAAAAGAATCCGTAACAAATTATCCGTTATCGAGAGAGTGGAGTGTATGTCATCACAAATGACGTATAACATGATGAACCTTACATAGCAATGATAATAAATTAATTATCTTTTACATAAATAAATCAAACTAATTAATTGTTTCTTTTTCTAGAAAAGAATCCAACAGCAGCATTTCAGGATCAAAATCTATAATATCTGTATTATGTTGATAAATTATCTCTTCAATAAAATCAATAATATTCCCAACATACAATATACTGTTATTTACCACACTATCTAAACCATTATCACAATCAAATGCCGATTATTTCTCAAGTTCAAGATTCATCAGTGTGCTTATTTGCAATATTTTATGGATCACACTAGCATTCAAGTTGTTTTCCATACTCGTTGACAAGTTAAAAAAAAGATATTCATCTTCTAGTGAATTAGAGCATAATTGACGGGATTATTAAAGAACTTACACACAGCTTGCATGCCACGTAGCATGCTGATGCAAGTAACAATAGCTACAAAATTTTCAGAACAATCCATTTCTATAATATCAGAAATACCGGTTTGTGATATTGGTATTCTTTTTACTATTAATGTTTACGACATTCTATTTATTTCGAATATTTTTGATATTCCAAATATTATTATTATATATAAAAAAGAAAGGAATTTTTTCCAATTAATAAAATAAAAAGAATAAAAAGTTAACAAAAATTAATTAATAATCAATAAAAATAATCAATCTCATCTCAAAGTAATCTACACTTTTTTCTAACGAACAATCAGACATCTCAACTTCAATAAATAATATCAATATTGGTTCTATGAATACTATCACAAATATTTTCCCTCGCAGAATAATCATTTGACTAGATATCAAACAATTTTTATAGCGATTCAACTTTTGACAATAGCAACAACAACAGCAGCAACAGTTAATTCCACAAACTCGCCAACTCTTTGAATTTTTTTTTTTTTAGATTACGCAGGATTACACAATAAAAATTATGGAATAGAATTTGTCAATGAAATGTTGTAAACTATATATATCCCATCCACAACTTGAAATATAAAACTCATTTTCCATTATTAGTACTCGTCTCATGGTAAGACATGCAATGGCAAACCCATGTGACTCACTTAAATGTGTTATTAAAGTCCAGCAAGTGAGAGAATGGAATTCTTGCTGGTAGCCCTGCTGGGTGTATTGACCCTTAGTGACATGATCTCTCTCTTTTGTTAAATTTTATTGTTGTAAAGCATTATTATTATATATAGCAAACAACAATGAATCATCATTTTTTGAGGATGATAATAAAGATTAAGATCCGATTTTGATTCATGAAAATATTCAAGTTTTTCATGAGGAATGGCTGTCCTGTTTATATGTTTTGGATTTAATAAAATAGACTACTGTCTTGGCCCGAGTGGTGTCGTTTTTTTGCTCTTTGCGACAAAGAAGATGCAATCCCAAACCCAACTTAAAATAAATGAATTTTGTTCTCGCGTAAAACCGCGTGCGTGGTTTGTAACACGAAAAGCAAAAGCTCGCATTTCGTTCTCAGTTGTGAGCTTGTTAGTAAAAATACTTAATATATAAAATTAATTTGTTTGCCAATAATGTTTAATTATTTTCTTTGTTATAGAAAAGTGATAATAATAATGTACAAGGAGAAGAGCAAAAAGAAGAAAAAAGGAAGATGAAAGTTTTTACAAGTTTGATGAAGACCAACCCCTTTTTTTTCTTCTGGTTTGGAAAAATTAGAAAATTTTTTATTTACATAAGATTAAAGAAAAAAATTTCCTCTTAATAAATAAACTAATTTTTGAATATCATAATAATAATAATTAAATCAAAATTTTTCATTAAAGTAATTTATTTAGCTAATTTGAAATGTTATTATTTATTAATATACATAAATGTTATGATTACATTTATAAAGAAGCTTACTTGATGTCAAAGTCATAACTTATATCTCTTATATCGGAACCAATATCTTTGTCATTATTGTTAATAAAAATTAATGATTTGATTATAAATATTGGGTAATTTTTCCAATATATGTATTTTTTTGATTCTTGTTTTTCGGTTTCATGACAAGTCTCCTTATACGGAGTGAGCCAAGCTATCTTTAAAGCCATTAAAGAAAGCCAATATGACGATAAACGTTACCTCCTCCAAGGAGAAAAGAAAAAGAAAGGTTTTATTTTGGGTGATTGAAAGGAGTTAAAGGATGTGGCGTCGGCGTAATATAATAATAATTAATATTGCAATCTTTAACCCTGGCGTACACTAATTATTTATGTACGCGTATGGGTTGTACAAGAATCCCCTTTTGATTTTTTTTTTTGATTGACGCGATTGATTTTTTTTTTTTTTTTTTTTTTGGAAAAACAATTTATTTTTTGACAGATGACAAAACGCGAGTGATGTTGTTTAGCATGATTTGGTTCTAAAGACATGTTAATAACTAACCAGAGGTAACTTTTTTTTAATTTGCATTGATTTGTCATTGAAATCAAAACGCGGAACAGAACTCGCTGGGTAATTATAAGATTCTCATCAAGATGGTAAACAAACGATTGGTATTTGGCTTTTAGCAATCAATGTTATTATTATTATTATAATTAATTACAAGTTGTCAAGGCAGCACACCTGACTTTCAGATGAAACATTTGATATGAATGTTTGATTATCAGAATTTTACAGAAGTTGAAGCACGCACACTACCTTGAACACTCTACAGTCATTCTCACATGTTCCTCGTGTGCACAAGGTAAATCTGACTTGCGCCCCCGATGATACAATGATGCAACTGAATTCCAGGGGGGTAGCATGGCCATGGAGTTTACCAAGACTGCATCAATCGTCAAGGACACTTTTCACTAATCTTCCCTCACAGCACAAGACCAGAGAAGGCTGACAAGTTAGCCAAAAGTTGACTGCAACAATCCTACCTGTAAGTATGGCTCCGTGACCAAGTCACATACTCTGGAGGAATATTAAAAGAATCTACAGCTTGTTTCAAGCACAGAAGGTTGCAATTCAGAATGGGGTTGGTGGCCCTGAAATTGTGTTTGGGCTCTGATGTTGTGAGGAAAGCTGTAAAATAAAATGGTTCAGATTTTCTTTGATATGTATGTATAAATTAATCATTCATAAATTCTGTTTCTTTAATTTTTATTTGACCAAGTGAATTTGTTATTTAAATGGGGTAGGGTTGTTGGTGAGCAGATGTGCCACTGACAAGGCAGCAACCCAGGACTCAAAACTCTGAATTCAGGGAAAATCCAAAACAGCAACAACCCAGGTTGCAACTTCCCGAGTTGTAGATACCAACTTTATTCTAGAGAGGTATATCACACAAATGCTGATCCTCATCAATGATCAATGCCCATATGGTAACAGCCAAGCCTGGTCTGAGAGGAAGATATAATTTTTCTACAATTGTAAGAATTACTTTTCAACAAGATAAATTATAAGTATTTTTGAACAGGTACTTTGATTATTGTAAAAACACAAATTGCCTTTATTTCTTAGAGGATAATTCTAGTAATAATAATAATAATAATAATAATAATAAGGGAAAAGATGTTGAAACATCAATGGATGATTAATTTAATCTCCACTATAAATAAATTATATATTTATTTATCTTTTATCTTTTCATTTTATTCTTAACTTTACAATAAATAATAAATATTTACAATTTTAATTCTTGTTCCAGAGCAGAGAATCGGAGGTTTTCCTTTCTCCTCACATTTGTGCATAATGAATGATGCTGGTGGAAACACCATTTGTGGTATAAAGTCACTGATGAGGATTCTTTATTGATAGAATCCAACATATTATTTTCCAATAGATTAGTGATAAAATACATAACTTGATTAAACATCCAATTATATATATTGACTCTAATTCGCCATAGTGATATGATTTTTGTATATGAAATATAGGGGCTAATTTACATATGATCAATATGATATTTTACGTCACGTGAGGGGAACACTGTCACTGTAGATCTCTACCGAATTGATCCATTAATATAATTTTCTTTAGAAAATGAAATAAAATAAAAATGAGTAGCCAAATTATTTCATTCAATGCAGGTGAAATTATTAACAAATTACATTATGGTCCTTTTGCAACTAGCTGGTGGGTTCTATCAAATGAACAATTTTTACCATATCATGTTGGCATGAAAGTTCAAATAGAAATGAGTGATATAAATTTTCCCTTCAGATTATAAGTGAAAGTTCAAATCCATGTTTTCAATATGATTTAAACAAATTATCAAGCAGTAGTCATTCACCTTCTGGTGCAATAAGTGAAATGTTTAATAAAATCAATAAAAAAGGAAAAAATTATTCAGGCCTTTCTTTAATGGGATTTGATAATTCTAATATAATCGAAGAATTATTGTTTGATGTAAATTTTCTACCTTTTAAAATTAAAATAAATGAAAAATTAGGGATCTTTGTATCACAAATTGGTAGGTATTGGAACACTAGATGGAATGGAATTGGAGAAGGATTTTGTTCCTCATTTCTATGGAGGTTCAGACAACAATGATGTTTATATGTGCAAAAAATTATTAATAATAGTTGTATTATTGAAATTTATAAAGATAATTTGAAAGTAGCAAAATTTGAAGATGAAACACCATAAAATGCGTGGAAAAAGATTGGTATTTTGGAAAATTATGATGGAAATGATCTTTTTGGAATTCTTCATGAAACATCTATTAAAGAATTTAATAAACATCATGAAAAAAATAAAATTTACTCATGTAATGATAAAATCATTGTTATACCTGCAATGTAATATACTTCATGTAGAATGCATATGAACTATTCCATTTGATTTCCAACAAATCAACAATTAAAAGAAAAAATTAAGTTCATCAATTAGGAGGATTAGTGAGACTCTGTTAATGGAATGATAAGACAAGTAATATTATCTCTCTTATATATATATATTTATATAAATTATATATATTTTATATAAATTATGTATTTTGATTGTAGAATGCTTGATTATCCAACTAAAGGACAATTACTTGAAATGGTAAAAAAATTAACTAATTAACTAATTTATTTATTTATTAATACAATATAATACACATTATAAATTTATTTATATATTCATTGTTTCTTTGCTAGGAAGTTGATGGTTTTGAGATAATTAATGGGAAACTTTTGACTACAAAACTTATTTATTTGCCAAAAGACACAATCTTAACAATTTTAGAATCTGGTTTTCATGGCCCATTTGTTGAAGCTTATTTTTGGACTCTGTTGAATTTTCACTTTCTTCAATATTAGATGAATTAAAGACCAAACAGCCTTTTTCTTTGATCCAACAAGAACAAGGCCCATATCATGCCCGAAATAGTATATAATCTATTTATTATAATTGAATTGGCTAATTATTTTGTAAGAAATAATAATTTTGTAGTCAAAGAATATTTATTATTTATTGGAGAAATTTAGAGTTCTTTTTTTTATGAAGTTTTTGTGCTTTCTGGTTTTTATTTGTGGAATACTCATAAACCATTATTTTTGAAATGAAAGATTCATATTCAGATTCAACAATAATTATTGATCTTTTTTATATTAATTATTAGTAGGGCTCATTAAAAAAAAAATAATATTTGAAAATTATATATATTTTTTTTAACAGATAGTAAAGGGGACAACCGGGATTGAACCAGTGACCTATCGATCTGCAGTCGATTGCTCTACCACTGAGCTATATCCCCCATTTAACATCTAGAAACAAATTAGAATTTTTGATAAAATAGGTTACTAACTAATCCTAATAATGTAATGAAAAATTTTCTGGATCTGCAAAAAAAAAAATATGGTAAACAGCATCTTTTAAATTATAAACCTGTTCAGAAGTTTCCGAAAGATGATATTCAAGCTACATGATAAAATAACATTAAACATCCCTTTGATGAAGATTATATAAATCGGAAATAAGTGTACAGGAAAGAAAATTACCAAAGTGTTACCGGAATTAGATTTTGACGCAGATCTTTTGGTTAATTCCGGGACAATTTAAATTTTATTTCTATCTTTATTTTTATTTATATTATTATTTAATTTATTCTTATTTTCATTATTTTATTTTTGTTATTTTTATTTTATTAATTCTATTTATTTATTAATAACGTGTATAATTATAATCACCTGAATTCGTGTTACGTCCCGTCTATTTAATTTTTATTAATTAATCCGTAGCACATTCATATTTATTTAACTTTATTTAGTAGAGATTAATGAAGATTATCCCAGACTGGGCGAAAACACCCAATTCGGGCTAATATGTATATAAAGAACTTGATTTCGACCTAATGTAAAAGTAACTTTGTTATAAGTTAATTAGTTTCGACCAAGGAAAACTTTGTCATAAGTTAATTAGTTTTGACTAAGGAAAACTTTGTTACAAGTTAATTAGTTTCGACTAAGGAAAACCTTGTTACAAGTTAATTAGTTTCAACTAAATAAAACTAAATAAATAAAATAGAAATATTTTATTTAAAACTTTTTATCTTCTTTAAACAAAATTATTTGCTAATAACAAAATCAATTCGTTGATCCCCTATTCATTCTGATCCATGCAAAAACAAAAATAATTGTTATCACCAATTAAAATACGCTCTCCCAAATTTAATCGGTGACACTATTATCAAATCTAGTTTCAAATCTTTTGTTTTTGAAACGAAATATGAAATCCATTTCTATTTTTATTAATTTTAAAACTTTAATCAATTTATATTTTTAATCAATTTGTTATTTCTTAAGGGTAGAGTATACGTAACATAAATTTTACTATGATACAGTGGATAATTTTTTGGCTGCCGATTAAAATATTAATGTAGTCATAATAACATTCATTATATAATAGTAATATCAGGGTAGAAAAATATATTTTATTTGTAATATCACCTATTGAAAGTGGGTGATGAGAGAATGAAAATTATAAGTCCAATAATTAACACTAAAAAATAAATGAAAACATTTAATATTAATATAACATTGTCCTTTTCTTCCACATCCTTTACATCCTTTAGCAAACAAATAAATAAACAGGCTGTATTTTGCTGCTCTTTCTCATTTCCTTATTTAAAAATAAATTATAATGTTAACACTTTTGATGTTGTCCTCATTTCTATTGAAAAGGCTCCATATTATTAAAGAAGTGGCAAAAAATAAATAGTTTTTGTCTTGTTGTGTATTAATTTATATATAATAAATAATTCATTTTAGCTGGTAAAAATATAACTGATTGGGTTATTTCATTGATACTGCAAGCATGCAATCCTAGTTTCCTATTTAATAGGTTATTTTATGTTCAATACACAGCCTACTCACCGAATTACAGTTGATTCCACTATCTTATGACATCAAGTCTGGATAGTCCAAATATATGAGACACAGCTAGGACTTACTTTGCCCACTGACTTATGGTCAACACTTCCTTTACCTTAAGACACCAAGTTTAGATAAAAGATCCCTAAGTTGTTGTACTATATCCCAAAGGTGTCCCCTTGAGATGTATCTTAATAATTAAGGTTATGACTTCTTACTGGATTCAACAAAGGTTTCCTCTACCAGTTTATCAATTATCAAAGAGTTAATTTAGGTCAGAGGTCAAGATTTATTTAGAATAAGTATGTTATGTGTTTTATTAGTGATTACAATAGTGTTAAGGTAGTATTAATTATTAGGTTAATAATTAAAAGATTATTCTATGAACCTGATGACTCCAACTCAATCTAAAACCAAATCCTTTTATACCTCTAAGGGTATTACAAATAACATGACTTTTACTAAGGATACTGGCTGCAACTTTTGATGATGGTTGCTACCATCTTTACATCATATAAAAATGATTGCAACCACCTTTACAACCATTTTGTTTCCTTTTTGGATTGCAACATGAAACACTAATTTTTGCTCTATTTTGTCCAATAAAATATGCTTATTAATGCTAAATAAATATTTGGGTCAACTGAGCAATACAAAATTCTGATTAATAATTTGAAGTAAATATTTGCATCAGCTGAATAAATTAATAAATATAAATAAATATGAATAGGAATAATTTTTAGTGAGACACTGCGCAATATGTGGCGCAGCCGTTACACGAAATGTAATTTTAAAAATAGAAATGATATGCTGACCGTCACGTGACCACTGCAGTAAGTTGGTTTGGTTTGATCAGCAAGGTGGGGACTTATCTAACGGTCCTTATTTTACTATCTCACAATACTTTTTCCTGGGCTTGCAAACCAGCTCATGAGGAGCTTTACTTGTAATTCATGAACCTTTGCATAGTTTTTCATAAGGTTCTTTACAATTTCAGCAACATCTTTGTCAATCACCATTTTAGTTTTCATTTGGGCATTCTTTTAATATTACCATGAACTCTTGATTTAAGTTCTTTTGTTTATCAGATGGTTTCTGATATTTTCAAAGTCTTAACAATTCCCAGCACATTAAATAAGTTTCTTAACAAAGAGGTGTATTATGATCCCATGATAGAAAGCTTTTATGTTAGACTGGTTGCTTTTAAGGTGTCTGCTAGTGCTTATTGATCCACTATCCATTGCCTTAAGTTGAGCCATCAAAATATGTTTAGAGTTTGAATTCATCTTGGGAACCATTGATAACAACCACAACCACAACCATTTTCTAAAAAATTGCATTTATTGCTATATATATTTATATTATCACTGTATGTTTTTTGCTTAATCCTGTGCTTAACCTTTCATTTTTGTGTATCTTCCAATTTATACATTTATTTTAGGAGGATATGTAATTCATGTTTTGTCATAGACAATTTAAGACTTATGAATTAATAAATTAAAATTAAATGCTTATTTAATACTTGTACTAAGTTATTAAGTTTATTACTATTGTGAGATCAAAATCCATATCTCACACAAATCTCTTGGATTTGGTTAAACTACTTAGTTCGTTTTGTGGCAGTATCCAGCAATGTAATCCTTTGATTACTTTCTTTGCTATAGTGTTTGAGTTATTTAATTTATTTACACACTTTGGTGTCTTGGCAGCTAATAGCGCTTTAGCTATTACTCTGTGAGAGGGCAAGTGTCTGACTTCCCTTCCGGTAATGTTTTCTCAGCAGTTACTATGTTTGCTGCCTGAGCCGGTACATGTCAATTATTATCTCTTCTGATAATAATCCCAGTATCCTTCCTGATACCATTATGTTATATTTATATAAAAGGTTCAGTGTTCTAACTGACCACTCCTAGCTAGGGTCTCCGGATGTAGGCGTTGGCCTAATCTAAAATAAAAATAAAGAAAATAAAATTAAAAGAAAAT